TACCGACCTAAACCAGGTCACTAAATTAATACCATCCTAATTACCAGGGCACCGATCTAATAGATCAATACGCATATCGAACCAATACAAGTATACAATCTGAAAAAGGGTCGGCCTTGGTGCCTTAGACCATGTTGATATAGTGATGATAACTCACCTTGAAATGTCGATCTGAACCAAAGAAGCAAATTTCCAAACCATTGCCTCTCTGACAATCCCAAACTATCCAGAATAGCAAATAATCAGTCAACACACGAGAGTATATATCTTGACCAAGAATCACTCATACAATAATAACCAATTTGCTTTCCTCTAATTTGGGGCCAAAGCCCAACACCAAACCCATGATCCAAGTCCATATAACAAGGCCTAACATTGGCCCAACTTTCCAAATTGGGCCCAACTACCTAATTGAGCCTACATCCAAGATCCAAAACCAAGACTTGGCCCAAAACACCTTACTCTTAATGTCCAACAAAGTTCTAAGTCCAACTAGTCCATAGACAGTGTAAACTTGAAGCCCAATATCAAAAAGTCCCAATAGAAGATGTACGTTGGGCGTACCCTCTGGTACATGGGGCGTACTTCGACTCCTATTTGATTGAACAACGGGCCATTGACTCAGTATGCAGGGCGTACTGCTACCTACGCGGGGTGTACATGAGCTGAACAAAAACTCTCATAAGCGCTTAATGGATTAAGCACTTAAGCCCAACCTTCAGGTCCATCGACCAAATATGCCTAGGACTCATAAAGTCTCAAACTTTATCACTTTGGACGTCCAGAAAGCTCTTAATCTAAGGTCTTAATCCATTAAGACCTTCCTAATGCATTCATGGGACACCTAAGTCATTGGGACCTCATTTTTAACACTCGTAACCCCTTCAAGAGCCTGAAAGGACAACTCATCTCATCCAAATCATGACATGCACCATTTTGGGAGTTTTTGGGACAAGAATGCTTCCATGAAGCTTAAACGACTAGATCTAACTCATACAAGAATAAGGTTCCAAGCGTTTTACCTCCTGGAGCTTCTAGAACACACACCAACTTTAGATCTTCAAGCGAATCTTATTCTCCAACTTCTTGGTGAAATGCCTTTACCTCCAAGAGCTCAAAATACCCACCAACTCACATTTTCACACAAGAACTAGGGTTTGGGGACGTTTCTGGAAGATGTAAGCTGAGAAGGAGGAGAAAAATGAGACTTAAGGATGTTTATATAGCTCCCAAGCCAAGACATTTGGGTTTCCTCATGTTATGAGTACGCCCAACGTACACAAGTGTACGACCAACATACTAGGACGCGCCCTAGTACGCTCAGCGTACCCTTATGTACGCGCAGTGTACTCTTCCTGATCCCAAACTTACAATTTAGCCCTTAGGCTCTTCAAGACTTTACCCTTCCATTCCAATGGACTACAAATGACAAAAATTGGGATGTTACAAATGGATTTCATAACCAAGCTACCCAGAACAATGGGTGGTCATGATACCATTTGGGTTATTGTCGATAGATTAACCAAATTCACCCACTTTCTGCCAATAAAAGAAACAGATAAAATGGAGAAGTTAACAAGGACATACATAAAAGAGATAGTACGGTTGCATGGTGTCTCAACATCTATTATCTCTGACCGAGATATGAGATTTACCTCGCGGTTCTTGCAATCATTACAAAAATCCTTAGGAACAAATTTTGACATGAGTACAGCGTACCATCCTCAGACTGATGGGCAAAATGATAGAACAATTCAAAACGCTACAAGACATGTTAAGGGCCTGTGTGATAGATTTTGGTAAAGCTTGGGATACCCATTTACCACTTGTTGAATTCTCCTACAACAACAACTATCACACTAGTATTAAAGTTGCACCCTTTGAAGCTCTCTATGGCCGTAAGTGCAGATTGCCTTTGTGCTGGGCTGAAGTGGGCGATACGCAACTAGCAAAGAACCAAATACTTGATAGTATTCTAACCGGTCATAAGATTATTCATGAAACTACAAAGAAGATAGTCCAAATCCGGGAACAGTTGAAAGCTTCTCGAGATAGATAGAAGAGTTATGCGGATAAACAACGAAAACCCATGCAATTTCAGGTTGGTGACCGTGTTTTGTTGAAGGTCTTACCCTAGAAAGGAATGATACACTTTGGTAAACGTGGAAAACTAAATCCAAGGTATATTGGACCATTCCAGATCATTTGCTAGAATTGGTTGTGTTGCTTATAAACTCAATCTACCGCATGAACTCAATAACATTCGTCCCGTATTTCATGTCTCAAATTTCAAGAAGTGTTTGTCCGGCGAGACTCTTACTATCCCACTCAACGAAATCGAATTAAATGAGAGTCTCAACTTCGAAGAACAGCCTGTAGAAATCCTAGATAGGGAAGTTAAGAGAACTAAACAAAGCTGTATCCCAATAGTGAAGGTTCGTTGGAATGCAAAATGAGGACCCAAATTCACTTGGGAGCGAGAAGACCAAATGAAACAGAAGTATCCACATCTCTTTCCATATTCTTAATGTATCCGTATAATCTTAAATTTTAGGAAGAAATTCCTTCTTACGGGGGGATAAATGTAACATCCCGTTATTTTCAGTATTGTAAAAGTCAAACTTAATGATTTATTATTTTACTAAAGTTAAAATAATTATATTTGAAACATTAAAAACACTTGATAAAAGTTTTGTATAATTTAAGAAGTAAAAACATCAAAAGTCCGAAGACCCTTCTTTCTTACCTTCGGACTGTGAATAACTTTCGGGCCGTGAACACCTTCTCGCTGCAAACCTCGCATAGGACTGCAAACCCGCCTCGGCCGTGAACCCTTCGCTTTAGCCGTGAACCCTTCTCGGCCGTGAACCCGAGGATCTTATCTCCTCGGGATATGTTTACTGCCGAAGACTCTTAAGTATATATACAAATGTGACTGATTTTTCTCTCATCTTTTCTCTTCTGACCGCAAACTCAAGGCTTCTCTCTCAAAATCTTCAACCACAAACACCATTTTCTCTCAACTATCATCCTTCAAACTTTGAATCTTCTTAGAACATTTCTAGGATCATCAAAATGTTCATCATTTCAAAAAGAATTGGGCCGAGAACACCCAGTTGGGTCGTGAACTCAAGATCATCAAGTGTTCTTGGGCCGTAAACCCCTATTCTAGCCGTGAATAGCTAACAACTTTCATAATTTGCTTTTAACACTCTTATTTGTCAGTTAAACTTGCAAATTTTTTTGATTCCTTATCATATTTGTGATTATATTCACTAAAAACATACATATATTCCATGAAATGCTTATAGGACTCGGAATATAACTTGTGGGAATAACATCCTAAATTAAACCTCCAACCGAATCACTCACAAAAGGTGAGTTCATGCCCCTACATTTTTATGATTTTTAACTATTTTAGGGGGGGAGGGGATACAAGTGAAACACAATAAAATTATGTTAATATCTCAAAAGTTTTTAAATGTTTTTAGTACTTTTATATTGTTACAATTGTTAAAAGTTACATATTTATATCTATGTAAATTATATAATTTGGATTCAGAAGATTTATAATATATAATTTGACCCCATTTCTTGTTCCTTGTTTGGTTGTGGGCTTGGGGTAAAGTTATTTAATCGAAGGTCTAATTAATCAAAATTATATAAATATTACATTTATATAAATATAAAATGGTTTTCAAACAATTTGGTACTACTTGAGTACACATGGAGAATTTCATGAAAGAGCAGTATTATAGATTCTTACAGTAAAAGAAACATTTAAACTATAATTGGTATAGTTTAGAGAACTCATTCATTGGTTTCAAGGTTCAAAGTACATAACAGAAAACAAACAGAGTACATGATGGAAAACAAGCAGAGAGCATTTTTAGAAAACAAGTAGAATACTTTACTGAAAAACAAAGATATAAACTATATTTTATATAGTTTATGAATAACACATTTTGCTTACAGAAATCATCACACATTTTGCTTATAGAATAACATAGCAGAAAATATAGGATTTTCTGGGAAAAACATGTTTACATTATCAATGGACAAGAAAACAGATTTCAGTTGCATACATACTTATGAACTCACCAACTATATTGTTGACACTTTTTCAAAACTACATGTATTCTCAGGGAAACAGTAATACATGTACATCCATAGCTTTTGAGAAGACAGAGATCTATAAACTTATGTCTTTTAAACTTGTACTTTTGGGTTCATATACATTATGTTTTGATAACAGATGTAAAACTTGTAACTTTGTAAATACAATGGTTGTTGTTGTGCTTGGATTACTATTATGCATTGTTGTGATACTATACATGACGTCCTCCACCCCCGAATGTTTCCACCGTTCTAGTTTGGGGTGTGACAAGAATAACACTGTATGTTATGTGGAGCAGTAAGACGGAGTAGGATTGAAGGGTATTTTAGGTATCAGATCTCTATAGTTAAAGATTTCTATAAGTGTAAGATGGAGGGGGTTGGTACTATTAAAGGGTATTTTAAGGACCAAAGAACACCAAACAGATTAGAAATCAGTAATGATGCACAATCTTCAACATCACAATATATACCTGGTCATATGCTTCCTCAGACTTGTAATTAACAGCCATACTAGTATAATTATTGTCTCATATTTTCTAACTTCCCAGGATGTAATTCCCCTAAGTTCAAAATCCCCGTAAGTTTGACTTCAACATCAATCTTTCTATCTTGCAATCATAACCATCATTTAAATAAGCAGAAGTTCATAATTAGGTTTTGAATTATGTATATAAGAAAATTACCTGGTGAAAGTGCCAATAGAAAGAGTATTCATAACTGAAGTACTTATAAATTTCACTATAAGACGCCGAGATCTTCATACTTCTGCTAAGCCACTTCTCTAGTCTTGATGCTTCAAGAGGATTCCATGATCGTCTCCATGTATGCATACATAATTTTCTATTGTTTCAACACGTTTAGTCAAATTTGTAAAATGTGAATCAAAGTGGTTGGTATAATAAGTAGATAATTGCCTGAAGCCCAAAACCAATCTGTTCTACTGGCATAACAGACAAATCTTCTAACCTAGGAACATAAAGTCTATTAGAAAAAGTTGCAGCCAAAACTGTGTTTCTTCCACCAACCTAATTATAATATACTCCTACAATTTAGTACATTATTATTATTATTATTATTATTATTATTATTATTATTATTATTATTATTATGCTATTAAAAAAAGAATGATGATAACTGATAAGTTGATAACATAATAATACCTTAACATTGATCTTCATTGCCACATTTTCAAAGTACTGTATGTGAAGGTTCATGACATTTTTTGACTGGAAGCATTGGGAAATGATTCCTAGCTCTGTTTCATATACCCGTTTGATTCTTGCTGAAAGAAAAAAAAAACAATAACAAATAAATAAATAAATAATCAATGTATAAAGTAAGATATAAAAGACTTACGATAATCTCCTTTTGCATCCAGAAGAATCACAAACATGAAGTAAGTTGCCAGGTACAACGCCAATCCACTCAATCGAAACCTCAATCTTATAAAAAACACAATGCACCAGTTTCAACAAAATAAAACTAAGAATAAAATCTAACAATCAATTTACTTAGAAGGAGAAGGATCAAGAAGGCAGGTAGCATGAACAAAAGATGGAGATACGGTATATAAGCAAGTCTGTATAGGTGAATAAATCACCAAATGAGTAAATCTTTATCTGGAAAGTGAAACTTGTAAGAGCTATAGATTTCTGGAACTGTAAATCAAACATGCTGAATTAATGTATTGAGTTTTGATTTCAATTTGGGTTTTAGGAGAAATCTTAAATTGAAATGAAAATCAGTAAACACTAAATATTGATTACCTGGAAGTATGAGTAGAGACGTTGACAGACAAAATGAATGATGTAGATGAGGTGTTGATGTTTCCCTCTAAAGGTGTGAACGGTGATTTCTAGGGCTAGAAGTCGTTGTAGACACAATTTTGATCAGTGCTATCCAATCGATCCAAATATGTAAGTGGCAGGCGTTGGGTTCATATCTGACTCTACAACTTCTACCAGTTCTCTAATTATCAGAGCAAATATCCCACACAATACGTTGAATTGTTGAAGAAGGAGGAGAAGGCTAGGCCGGAGATAAGAGGTGGGGAGTGGAAAGGATTTTGGAAGAATGAACAATTTTTTTATTTGTTTAAAAGACACGAAAACCCTCCATTAGACGAAGCATTGACTCCAAATTCAGAGATAACAAGAATAAAATTCAGAGATAAAAGAATAGAGGGGTGATGTCCAGTGGAGTGCGTAATCAGGAAGGAGGTGGAGAAGCGAGGTGGTAGAAGAGGATAGATGATGGCAGTGACGAAGCAAACCGGAGAAGAAATTTTGAAGGTTTGAGGATGGTTTCACCGGGAACCATTTTCTCTTACCTTTTGGATCCCCTCCGCCTCCTCTGCCACTGTCGATTGCTCACACAGTGTCGATTTGTGATCGTGTAGACACAAAACCGTCGTTACCATCGATGTGTAAATGAAGGCTTGTTGATTTGGCTAGGCTTCGATTCCACCGAAAAGAAGAAAAGGGCCAAAGTATGCATCAAGAGTAGGTTGCTGGTGGCGATATAGGCTGAAGAGGATGAAGAAAAATCGAAAGTGGAAGAAAAGCATTCGTCGGATGGAGCAATGATGGGTGGAGACAAAGCGAAAGAGATAAGGTGGAGTAGGGAGTGCGGAAGGAACTGGAAAGTTGAAGCCGATTAATTTAGAAGGTGGATCACTGGTGGTGGTGTTGGGTGAAGATAATGGCGGTGACTGAAAGAATTGGAGAAGTTGTAGAGAAAGGTATATGATATCACTTCTCTTTCGATTGATATAGAAGAAACAAAAATGTTTAGAGCTGGTTGACACTGTCATTGGAAAACGAAGCGGTGTGTAGATTAATATATGTGTATCCACATTTCATAACACGTTTCCAAGACACGCTCGCATCAGGTATCAAGGTATTCATAGTTGATAACACGTGTCCAAGAGATGTATCAAGGTATCAGGTAATAAAATAAAAAAATGGCAAAATAAAACCTCTAATAGAAATGAGACACAATTGAAACCCCACCATAATCAAAGGACCCATTCTGCTAAAAAATCAGAATGTTTACTGTTGCTAACTTAGTACATTTTTAATATATATATATATATATATATATATATATATATATATATATATATATATATATATATATATATATATAAAGAAAGAGAGAGAGAGAGAGATTAATTGTAAACGTAAGTTATAAAACATATTTAATTATTTATAGATATATCAACGAAAATTAAATTTCTAGAAAATTACAATTACTTTAAAAAAAAATTAACGATTAAGTCTAAAAAAAATATTTTAAATAGAAAAAAAAAACAAAAAACCGAACAATTCTTTCACTTTAACACCTTTTGATATTTTCAGCAAGTAACATATACGCTACATTGAATGCCAAATAAATGTGTGTGCGTTGATGTGGGCATGCCACGTTAGCGTTGTTCTTTAGAATGAAAATAACAAATTACTTTAAGAAAAGAACAATAATGAGATTGGAATCCGCATCTAGAACATATAAACCAAACTCCTTTCCACTAACATAACACACACACACACATTGTATGGTTGTAAGGAGAGTTCTGGACCAATATATGAGAATAATGAATGATTTTGATTTGAGGGTATATGATATTACAATGAAATAACATATATCATATAATCATAAAAATTTCACTATAAGGGTATTTAAGTCAATTTAATTGTATTTAAAAAGGAAATTTACATCAATTAAGGGATAATTGATTCTCTTAATTTTAAATTCTATTTTTTTTTAATAATTGAACTTCAATTATAACAAATTTCAAATTATAATCGATTTTATTATTTCAGAATAACAGAATATCAACAATAAACTAGTAAATATATTTTTTATTTTATTTTATTCTTACAGAATAAGGTTTCGTTCAAGATATTTATGATAATTAACATGCTTAAAGAATTCTAAAATATATATTATCAAGAATAACATAAAAATTCTACAACATATGAAACATATTTTGTTTTTTAAGAATCAGTAATTACACTAATTTTTAAAGAATAACTATAAACAATAATTACATTACTTCTGGAAAAACTGACTAATAATGGTTAACATTTATTCTAAAAGATTAAAATAAGAATGGTTAAAAAAAACATCAAAATCTAACAAAAACACTAATGACTTTAGAAAGAATACTATTGCTAATAATCACTTAAAACATTATAGCATAATATATTCTACTAGAATACACTCGTGTTTCCTTATTTTCTTTCTTTTCCACATTAATGGAAGCCTTTTCAAAACCTAATCCTGCAAAGAAAGCATAATCAACGTCCTTGAATTCGTAATCCACTTCTATTAGAATGTAATAATATTATCGGTAATAATATGTGTATTAAGTATATGAGAATGACACCGGTATTTTGATACCAATACCCAATTTTTCAGCATCAACATGCCAAGTTTGAAGATGCATTACTCAACCAATACAAAGCTAATTAACATGATTCTAGAGCCTAAGCTATATATAACATGAAAGAAAAATATGCAGGAAATAGTTCAGCTCATTGCAAACTCTTATGAATGAGATATGATAGTTTAAAGATGACAAAAAAAAATTATGCACAAAGAAAAAGTGTTGATGAGTGTTGAAGTACAAATAGTTGACTAGCTAAGGATGAATAGTGACTGGAGGTTGTCATAGAGTGGGTATGGGCGATAGCTGGTTGTCATTACTTTAGGGGAAAGTCAACACTCATAACCAATATCTTACACAAAAGATATTATTCTTAGATAAAGGTTTCCCCCAAAATATGATTAAAATATAAATATATATGGTCTTATATATCAAAATATAAGTTTGGGTGAAAATCCCACGTTAAAATCATGAAAAACAAGCTTAAAACGTGAAAGTAGTCGAAAACTGGGTTTAAGAGGCAAACTTGCGAAGTTCGTTCCCTGAGAACCGAGAGAAGACTCGGTCTGTGAAGAATCGTAGGCGAGCTCGTCGAGAAGAACCGAAAGCGAAGGTAGGCGAGAGTGTGAGGCGAAGACGAAGCGAGCCGAACCAAAGGTGGGTTCGGTTCTGAAAGGGGTTCGGTTCTCAGGTGGATTCGGTCCTCAGCAGTTCAGTTCGTTAGGGCTATTTCGGTCTTCAGGGTTTCGGTTCCTTAGGATTCGGTTCCTAGGGAGTTCGGCTCTTAGGGTTCGGTTCTTAGAAGCTTCACCCCCTTTAAGCTATTTTTCTATAAATCTTTCCGTTTTGAGCATTTTTAACCAAGTTAAGGGCTGGGATGCCCCGAGTGTTTATAAATAGTCAAGAGAGGTTGTGAGAGAGATTTAGGAGAGAAAGAGAGAGATAAAGCGAGAGAGATTTAGAGCGACTTTGTTTGTGACCTTTGCGAGTGTTTAGCTTCGAAATGCAAGGTTTGTAAACCCCATTAAGCCTCGTTAGGAGTGTCATACGCCCCCGGAGGGTTTGTAAAAATGCTATATCGAGTAGTTCCATCACTTACCGTGATTAGGGTTTAGTTTTTCTGAACACGTGAAAAGTGATACCTTGCAGTAAGATAGTATGTTGTACAATAGTAAACATAATGTAAAGCCTACTATACAAGGGTTAATTTAGTTGACCGATTTGATTTGTTGACTTTTTTTGACTTTGACTTAACTAGAAATTGACGGTTGTCACATCGTCCCCCCGTTAGGAGGAATTTCGTCCCAAAATTAGCACTTTGACCAGGACTTCAAGAGTTGGTGAAAAGATGCCGGTATTTTGTTTCATCTGATCTTCGCATTCCCAGGTGAACTCGAGTCCTCGTTTGGTGTTCCATTGAACCTTCACAATAGGAATGCGATTTTGTTTTGATCTTTTGATTTCTCGGTCCATGATTTCTACCGGTTCTTCCACGAAGTGGAGACTTTCGTTGATTTTAATCTCATCAAGAGGAATAACAAGAGTCTCGTCAGACAAGAACATCTTCAAGTTGGACAAATGGAAGGTTGGATGTACATTTTTGAGTTCTTGCAGTAGTTGGAGCTTGTATGCTACCGTACCGATCCTAGCGAGGATCTCGAATGGTCTGATGTATCTCGGGTTCAGCTTTCCCCACTTACCGAAACGTATTAAGCATTTCCAGGGTGAGACTTTTAACAACACTCGATCTCCAACTTGGAATTCCAAGGGCTTTCGTCTGTTATCTGGGTAACTTTTCTATCTGTCTCTAGAAGCCTTTAACCGTTCCCGGATTTGTAGAATCTTCTCGATGGTTTCTCTTATGATCTCCTGGCCAGTGAGGGTGTTGTTAGGGACTTTCCCCTTTGCTAGCTGTGTGCCACTCACTTCAGCCCAACATAGCGGTGACCTGCACTTCCGGCCATAGAGGGCTTCGAATGGAGTAACCTTGATACTAGTGTGATAACTGTTATTGTACGAGAATTCTACAAGTGGTAAATGGGTATCCCAAGCTTTGCCAAAGTCTATCACACACGCCCTAAGCATGTCTTCTAGCGTCTGAATGGTCCTCTCATTTTCCCTATCAGTTTGTGGGGTGATAGGTTGTACTCATATCCAGTTTAGTTCCCAAGGATTTCTGGAGTGACTGCCAAAATCACGAGGTGAATCTGCTATCCCGATCGGAGATAATAGACACATGCACTTCATGCAGATGAACTATCTCCTAGATGTAGATTCGTGTAAGTCTCTCCATCTTGAAGATGTCTTAGATTTGCAGGAAGTGGGCGAATTTGGTCAATCGATCGATAATTACCTAGATGGTATCGTACCCACTCCGAGACTTGGGCAATTTAGTGATGAAATCCATCATGATCCGTTCCCACTTCCACTCAGGTATTTCTAGTTGTTGCAACAGATTTGGTATTCAACATTGACCATATCGCAAGTCAGGCACTTGGTCATGAAGGTAGCAATTTCAGCTTTCATGTTTGGCCACCAATAGAGTTTCTTGAGGTCCACGTACATCTTGTCTGAATCGGGGTGTACTGATTAGAGAGTTTTGTGTGCTTCGTTCATGACGACGTCCCTGAATCCTCCAAACTTGGGTGTCCAGATGCGATCCATGAAATAGCGTATCCCGTCACCCTTGATTTCTAGGCTCTTATCCATTCCTCTTAGGGCTTCACTTGTTACGTTTTCTGATTTCAGGGCTTCCAACTGAGCCTCCTTAATTTGGATAAACATATATGAATGGATTGTCATGGTTAACAACCTTACTCGAAGACCCAAGTATTCATTTCAGCTGAGGGCGTCAGCTACTACATTGTCTTTGCCTGGGTGATAACAAATTTCACATTCGTAATCATTTAGTAGCTCCACCCATCGTATCTGCCTCATGTTGAGCTCCTTTTGATTGAGGATGTGCTAAAGGCTTTTATGATCGGTGAAGATGGTACACTTTGTCCCATAGAGGTAGTGCCTTCAGATCTTTA